AGAATTTTTGTTTACATGGGAAATCGTACTTATCTTGAACTTCCAAGGGCGACTCGACAGCATCTAATTTTTTTGCCCTTGTTGGTGAAAAATAAATGTTTGTTTTGATCCCTTCTACCACCCAATAGCGAATGTTAAACTGGAATAATCTTCATAAAATGTTCTCGCAATCTTCTTATAATTCTTTTTATGATCCTCTTAGTACTTACTTTCAAAATCTCTATAGAATCGTTACAAACTCTAGAGTCTTAAAACTCTTAGAATCCTCTTACAATCCTCTTAGAATCTCTACAGGATCTTGAAAATTAAAAGCCATTTTAATAATCTTAATACATGCGTCTTTCTTCATTCATGGTCACAGCCGAACTAAATAGAATGGGGCTAGACTACTTCAGTAGCATATTATCTTGACATGGCGTAAAAGACTTAAGAAATACAGATGCGTAACAGAATGATTTATCATCAGATTGGGTCATGAAAACAATTTACACTTCGTTTGTATGTCAACTGATATACATTCACAGATTGAAATATATTAAATATGCATCAAAATTCGCATTTATATGAGGCATTAACTTTCCGCACCTGCCAAAACTTTGAACGGAAAAATGTTTCAATAAACTGCCCAATTATTGTCTACATGGAAGTTTCAATAATCAATAATATCCAATCATTGCCAAACGAAGTGCCGATAGCAATACAGATCGTGTCTATGTGTTCAGACGATTCTAGATAGCGTTTTTGACTTTATTAGAGTGGAAATGGTTCAAATGAGATGATAGTCGCGGTCTAAGTCACAATTGTTCTGGAAAGCACTACTGCCATGGTTACAAGGTCTCGTGTAGACGATAATTATTTACCGGCGTCCTAGTGATACACGACCAATAGTATATTATAATCAATGGCGCCACCGGAATCCGCATAAACAATTCCATGTATGAAGTTTGTTTTTTATTCCATTGAAAACGCGAATGCGTCAAAACAGATAGTGAGGTTCGACCAAAATAAATATTCAATTCGACATATCCATTACCGCCTATAGTGAATACGCACATAACACCAAATATTAGCTAAAATATGTAATTGAAAACGAAATTACTGATATCTAACAGTGGGTGCCAAACTTGATAGTGAATTGTAGAGAAGCGTGGAGTGCGTCAATAGTTTGACGTTGTAACCCTTTCATCAGCGTCTCCATCACTTTCCAACGTAGGCCAAACGAATCCGTATCATAACGGCGACACGCCACTCCCCCACGTTGCTATCAGAACGCGTTTTATTATTGATATCCGTCCTAGTCCAAGGTTACCATATCAGTATACGAAGCGTTAATTAAAAAAATAATTGAAATGACTATTGAATCGTAACATGACAATTTCATTGAATGAATTGCGTAAGTAAAACTAACTGATCATTCATATCGGGCATTCCTACAAAGTTCAGTGGAATATAGACCAGGATCCAAGCGACTATCTTCGGTCCAAGAAATTTAATAATGACCGTAAAAAAGATTCTCCACGTATGGAAGGACATCCACAGGATTATTAATTTTCTAACTACACGAGCGCCTTTCAACAAAGAAATCATGGAACAATCGCCTTCAACCGTCGAATTTTCGCAGTTTAAAAAATTACAAAAAGTAGCATCAAGTACCATTACGTGGAACAAATCAGTAAACGCCCTTGGTTTTTTATTCATTCATTGTTTACTGTCATCCCACGTTTACCATAGTAGTGATAGTGATCAGGAATGAACAATTGTTACCTAGTGTGAATCACGTCATGGGTGCTAGTAATTTGCAACTAAATCAAAGCAAAGTTTTACGTTCCTGCATAGAATTTACCCACTCAATAGTAAAAAAATTGGCTTGTACTGCTTTTACAAAGAAGTTGCATGAGTAAGGAAAACAGTAGTAATTTGCGTCAGCAATGTTTAAAAGCATCATAAATCTACCTCCACAATGAGCGTACTTTCTTAATTACTATTTTGCACATTTAGCAACCCACATTAGCATGTTTTGCTACATTCATTATTAATTACAAAGTTAACGAGACAATCCTTTATGTGTTCCTAATATAAGCAAACATCTCCATTATGAATCATAGATGTTTATTTTCAGTATATTTGGATTATTGTCCACAACTTATTCTTGTGCAGATAAAGTGCATTTTTTAAATCCGAAATAGCTTAGTAAATAGACGAACAGACACACAGGAAAAACGCAAACAATAGCTAATTTCGAGCATGTTTCTTAAAAGTATAGGTATATTATATCAAATTAACAATCTTTTAGTTGCCTTTAGAACGTCTAACAGGCCTATAAAATAATCTTTTGATACATATGTAATTTTAAAAAGACCCTTTACGAGATTTCTTTGTGTTAAGTGAAGAATCCTTAAAAATCTCTAAGGCCGAGCGCTCACCAAAACAATATGATAGTGATACCTGACAGTAACATGATGTCATTTGTAAGTTACACAAAGGCTAGCTTATCAGTCAGCGCACACCGACATGCTATAACTTGCAAATGACACGTGACAATCATATCACCGTCATCAACGTACACAAAAGTGCAGCATGCTCCACTTTTGTTGCGTGTCACTTGTGTAGGTATTATTACTGCTGTTCTGAATACTTCTTTGCTACTTTTGCCATTTTTCCGTTGTAATTACAAATAAATAATATAAAATGAAAGACAATCCAGAATTTAATACGAAATTTGTATCTCTCGTTGAAAAGTTTCCGTGTTTATATGACTATATACTTGTGCAGACTACAGCAAGAGAAATGTGGGGGATAATTCGTGAAGCATCTTCATCACCAGAAGAAGACGACGACGACATTCTTCTTCAGACACAAGTTATACAATAAAATTACTTTGGTTGGCGTTGAGTAATAAGAATGTTGCATTACTATCATTACACAATCATGTTGCTGTCAGATCACTTTTCGTGTCATTTCGGTGAGCGCTTTTACTAATACCGTCCAAGAGTCACCTATCTATAACATCCTTCTAAATATTTGTTGAGTCATTGAGGTGCTTGTCTCAAAAAGCATCTTAGAGCTTTCATGAGTCTCTAGAAGTCGTTTAAATCTTAGGTACTAAGTGCTTAAGCGGCACAAACCACAAGGGGTTTTCAGAAGGGGTTGACATTCTCTCCTCTTTTGCATAACCGACCCTTTAACTGAGGTCCCTAAAGATTTGTTGTCTCTAAGAATGCATTAGACCTTCAATGGGCCTTAAAAATTTCTAAGAACTTTTAAGAATTTAAAATTGAATTGAAAAATTCTCTGCAACGAATTTGAGGTATGGTATGTATGTATGTATTTATTCTCATATAGCTACAAAGAGCAGCTAACGTGCCTAGCCAAATATAGATTTTTACATGCTGGTTTTATAAACCATGAATTTTTCGTCTTTAAGAAAATAAATGCGGATTAATTTTCTTATCCTACAAAACGCTAACACAGAACTCGTCGAACTCGTGTCGATAAAGTTTCCCTTTTCACCTTTAACGTGTCACGGTCGACTTCGATTTCTCGAAATTCTACTCCTGTACCGATAAATTGCAATTGAAGTCATGGAGTCTAGCAGTCACCCGCCTAGGATACTTATAGCTTCGCCACTGAAAATAGTGACTACTGAGCCCCACCACCACGACAAGGTGTATCCCATGGTGAGGAAATTGGGGGTATAGTTCAGGAATTCGAATTTACCTGCATATCGCTCAGGAAAGAGAGAATCTTCGTAAGCGAAATTGATGCCCACAATTGGGGCGGACTTTCTTATCAGATCGTCATCCAGAAGAGAAAACTTGTCTGTACCGTAGCAGAAGAGCCATACGAGATACAGAGTTTTAATTTTGGGCCTTAATTTCTTTTCTGCATACCACGAATGGAAAAAAATTATACAAATGACAATATGCCTAATTTGTTTTTTTTTTCTTTTGTTTTTGGACGTAGGCATACTGTGATCATCTTGATACCTATTGAGTTAGGAGAAAAGTTAATTTAAAGTGGAATCATACAAAATACCTGGTGTTTTAGGTTTAGGCTCGTGTAATAAATACGCAGTACTGCCCAACCCTACACACACGACGCTAAGGGATGAAGAAACTGGATAAACAAGTCAGCCTTGAACATTCACACGTGTGCAATTCTTTCATCCACCAGCATCGCAGCAACGAATTCCTACACGTGAGATAAATCGCACTTTCTGTTATCGTGCATAAGCAAATTTGTTGAAAAGACTGTTATCATTATAACCTCATTTTAAACGTATTTTTTTTGTTGGTCCTCGCTGATAACAGCAACACTGTTAACGTTTATCTTAATTAAGCGGAGCGTGTGAGGGATTCGTGAGCAGAACACGCGCCACAAAAAGTAAGTAGCAACGCGGACGTTAATGAAAAAATTGGTAGAGGTAGACGGATAAAAGTGAGAGTATGAGTATTATCTTATTACTTAACGCATATTATGTGGAATTACCGCACCGAAACCGCGCAGAGAATCCGGATTTTGAGAACTTTCTAATTTTACTATCATATCCTGTTGTGTCTGTGCTATCTTCGTTTACGCATTACGGATATGATTTATCTGTGTTTAATAATATCAGCTGAAATTTCCACGGCCGCGTATGTTGCATCAATCATAACACAACTCTCAACAGTCAACAATAGTGTACCAGAGTTGAGTGAATATTTAATTACTCAATGGTACCAGTTTAATTATTTTTAGGGTCAACCGGATTTATTGCATAAACTAACGACTTTTCTTGACGTACTTACCCAATTTCTTCTTTGATTGGTTTGATTCGGGGAAGTATCTATTGGTGGTCTTGAGTTTTAATTTTTAGATGACGAAGAGATAAAAGATCAAAATATATTGTTCAGTACAGGTTGACTTGAACCAGAAATGTTCCGTAATCTTATTTATTTATAATAGCATTGAATAAGATTCTTTATTCAATGATACTAGTAAATAGTAGCCCATTAACAACTAAAATTGGATGATCTCAAATCGAACAATATTGCTGTGGTTACTTACAAATTTCAACATTTAGTTCGTAATATTCATAAAACATAAATCAACATGGGAACAGCAGTGCAGACAAAATGTTCTGATTGGAAGGCGCTATTATGGCCAGTACCTCCATCCGTCAATAATAATAACACAAGATGTTGTCTTCCCCAATCAAATTTATATTTCTGCTGTAGTATTTACATATGTTGCAGAATAAGTTGTTATAGTAGCTGACATATGTTTCGGTCTGGTTAACAGCAGGCCATTATCAAACCAAAAACTACAAGAATATTACAATTATGAGGTTTTTTATATTAAAATGTTACTTATTAAAATAAAACATCGACGACTTAAACAACACTGGGTGGATGGGAATCAATTCGAATAGGAAATCGACCATGAGACACAAGGTGCACTGCGGTGGCGAACCAATATTTCCTTCGTTCAGGCACATCACGATTGATGTCTGCAAACTGTGCAAAAGTGCTGAACAGTATTTTCAGTTTATTTTTTACCCTTCTCATGGTAGTCGGCTAGCATCAGTATGCCCTTTGCATATCAGCACTTTTCCGGCCTTGTTCGTAGCTGGTTCGCTTCTCTTAGTACATTGCTTTAGTCGTTTCGGGAGTGTAGTGGGTGATTCCAGGTTTGGCCTATCTCTATAGTAATAAAATAACGCATAAAGTTCATTCGCAACAGGATCAAGTCCTCCTCGGACTTCCGCATTCGAACACATTATCCAAGTCGAAGTAGTAGCTTAGCTAGTAGTAGGGCCCCTTCGCTGCACCATGCTCGAAATGATTTCCTCCCTGGACTTTACACATTCGAGCATTAAGTGTTGGTTCAATTTCCAGAAGTTAAATAGGTAAATTAAGGTATCTAGCAGGGCATCTACTACTTTCAGTAGTCCTTTTAGGTGGACAGATTTTTGTTGAGAAAAAATTACACTGTACGATTACTAAATTAAATATTTGTTATCCTTGAGTCTAAAGCTATGTCAATACGACTTAGTCTCCAAAAATGTACCAATTTCCGAGACGGAAAACTCGGTACGAGGAAGCGAAAAAACGACCCACAGAAATATTTACGTCATCCGTGTATACATCGCTGCAAACACTGTGGGTAAACATTACTTAGGACTAAGCACTTATTTTTCCTAAAAAGTAAATAATTGATATAACACGCAAATGTTTACGTGGAAATCATGGTGTAGTAAACAAACAGATAAAGTTAGCAAAGGTTTCTCAGAACAAAACAATAACAAAAAAGTTCAACCTGGACTACAGTCAACATACGTGAATGAGATTAAAAGTTCGCCCTGGATAGGGTCTAAAGAATAAACGATATTTTAAGCACAGTAGGTGTGTTCAATTTAGTTAAAAACAACTTTGTTTTTTAAAGGCTAAGGAAATGTACCAACAAACGTGTAGGTATAAACAATACTAATGTCAAAAAATACCCAAACACAAAAAGTAACAAAATATTGACGAATGTTGCCTCCATCTGTAAATAACGTGGTCCTTACTATTGATTTCTATTTGATTTACAAAGACGTTCACGAATTAGAGTTGGTAGACCACCTTTTTTGACTTACATAACTTCCCCAAAATTTTACAACGCATCGTTAGTTCTACTGCTGCAGAATATGTACGGATGCGTAAGGAAAGTAAATACAAACATGTACGTTTCTTAGAAATCTAAAATTATGCATTTCTGGCAAGTATTTGAACCTCACGATTGTGAGTGGATTTATTCTTCATGGTGCTCTAATAAAATGTCTCAACGAAAGGAATTAATTTCAGCCAACCAGCGCCATTATCTTCGATCCGATCCCTTATCGAGATCGGTTATAATTTGTCGTATCTAGAGAACGTAGTGTCGAAGGAGAGCACTTACAGACGATAAATGCAATATTTCGGAGAATTTGCCTAAGGATTTGATTCTTCTTGCATTATATAGTGTAGATTTTGAATGTAATAATAATATATTTGCTTGTTATTATACAAAGTGTACTTAAAATTGTCAAAATGATATATAAATATAAAAGTTATGTAAAGTAAAAAAAAAACATGAACACTATATGAAATGACAAACTACATAAAATACTTTAAACAGAGTTATCACACCTTAGCACAGATGGCACTATTTAAGAATTCTTCATAGTGGTAGAACGGATTGTGATGTGTGCCAGACGGCCTTTAAATGTTTATGTATAAAGAGCTCTAGCTTTGGTACCTAATAATTTTCCTAAGCTGTAGGTCTAGGTAATGGTTTAAAAAAATACGCACTCCACCACTGGAAACTAAAACGCACGTGTTCTCTGTCTTTTAATGGATGAAACCTTATGCAAAAGCAAAATTTACGTGTGCGATTTTTTACTTCAAAATTAATAAAAGGGCGTATCAACGAAAACTTTTATTTCGATTATTTAATATTTCACATATATTGAAAAATGTAACTCCATGACTGTTTGGGTATATTAAAATGAAGCAAAACAACAATAAAAACAAAACTTTCGAATGAAAGACAAATTGGCTTATTTATCACCGTGTTACTTCTATTTATTTGAAAATATTAAGCTCTGGTAAAATGTGGCGTGGAAGTTTTCGCCACCTGAAGCAGCTGCTGAAAAATTCGGAGTAGGTGCTAGTTTCTGAAGTATCCGATTTTATTTGTAGAGATATTTTTTTGAAATTTTAAATGGAGATTCTCCTAGTAAAGGCAAATATATTGCGATCATGTGTGCGCAGGCGTAGACTGCGCAATGGCAAATTTCTTATTTATAAGAATACATACATATGTCCATTGTGCGCATAAATAGTACATTATATTCATGGAAAATGCGCTAAAGTTACTCACCTTACGGCGAAAACCTTTTTTTTTTCATTTTTTGCTTTTTATTCATTTGATTGAAGACACTTACTGACATGAAATTGACTGATTGCACCACCAAAAGGCGATGGGCGATGGGGTCGTCATATCCCGACGCCGAATAATTTCTATTATAAACTTTTTTAACATTATTGTTCACGTTATTCTCCTTTATCTCCGCACTATAAGTACCACTGAATTCTTTAAATTTGGTATAAGTCTGGGGAGAACAACCTTACAGTAAAGAATATTCATTAGCATTACCAACCACTCATTAATTAACTCTTTTCCTAACCTTTCGTTGAATTTCCCTTTTTTCTTTGTTTCCATTTTTTTCTATAATCTGCTCCTTCCAGTTCTTTCCCCTTCGCTCTGTTTAATATTTATCTGTTTTGCTTTTCTTCGTTTTACTAATACTCCCTCGAATACTCCCGCATTAAATGATCTTTCTCCTCTTAATCTTTACACAGCATACATTTTCTGATTTTCTTTCTTCACCTTCTCTTCATTTTCCATTTCCCCTCTCCTCATATCCACAACTGAGCCTCGCAGCTATTTTTATATTCTCCCATCTTTTAATTTCGGCACCCACTCTGCTATCAGCTTCTTGTATCTTTTGTTCCCTCGTGTATTCCAAATTTTCTCCCTCTGTTGTTAAAATTGTAACCCTTGGTTCCTCGGTTCTTGTTTTATTATTTATTTACTGTCCCTCCCTTGTTCTAAGCCCTCAATAGACTTGTGCCGAATTACAGAGGGACCCGCATCATGCTTTTTAGAGGTGCCCCTGCAGAAGGTCTTAAGTTGTTCTATAGTACCTTACGAATTAGGAAACTCCATACTTTCTTCTCTTTTTCCCCTTGTCTGTGCCATATCCCATCCGTATCGTAAATGTTTTTTCTTTGTTCCCACAATTTTTCCTTTGTGTTTATCTAAACATCATTCCATATTATTTTACTGCTCTGCGTCCTATCATTATTATTTCTTCTCCATTTTGTCTCTTCTCCTACGATGAAGTTTGGTATTCAATATCCACTTGTACCTTGCTTGTATTCCTTCCATATATAAATTTATTCTTGCATTTCCTGTACGTTTATTATTTATTCGTTTGCCTCATTTTCATAAGATAGCCCAGATTTTCTCACTTCTTCTATATTAATATAATATAAGCAATGAGATCTAATTAATTTAGAAAGACGTAAACTTTGAAGAAATTTAAAAATATTGTAACTGTTAAGACAAAAATATAAGTTTGACCGAAAAGATTTCCAAACGATTCCGGGAGAAGACTAACTGGGATTACTTGTAAACTGTCCAGAAATTGGCCTAATCCCACCTGCTAATGATGCATGGTTAATGAAACAAGCTTCTCTAAATTGTGATACACCGCCGCTTGGCTGGCGTCGAACTGCGTCTACTTCTGAAATAGAAAAAGTTAATCATTGTAAATAAATATTAGGCGTATGGAATAACCTACTTCTACTTTGTAATGATGCGATGAATAACCTGTTGCCGCTGCAAACGTTGCCAACACTCTTGCTTCCGATAAATTGAGTTTAACGTACCCTCATTTTATTTATATTTAAGTAGTCCTTTGTATCTTCAAGGATATGCCTATTATTATTCTGCTTTTGTTGTTAATTTGTGATGCGCTTTTCGGAGGAACTGCTTGTCCCGAACCGCGAACGGCTTGTGTTTATCCGATGATATGAGTAACAATTTATTAAATATTAAAACATTAAAAGCACAATTTCTGGATTTGTTTAAGTTATTATTTTTAGCACCCATTGTATCCAAATAAAATCGACATAGGTATACCTTCTCGCAATTCAGATTTAGATATTTCTCAATGTAGTTTTTCGACGAATCAAGGTTTATTTGCATTAATTTGCAAATAATGCCGGAGGAATGGCCCAATACATAACCATCATTCATCACACAATTTGCAACAATGTAAAACAAATTTTGCTTTGCCGTGGCTTATACATTTGTTTAACTTAATTCCTCAATTACTCTTCTTGATACATTTTCAAAGTTATATAATAGGTATATTTTTTGTAACTTGTATAGATTGTTACGGTGACATTTTTAGCATGTTTTCCCCAGAATCCGTCTATCCATATGTCCATGTCTTAACAGACTCCACTTTCCGGAATTTGCACACCTACTCTAAATTATTACTTGCATTGCATTTTGTTTGTGTACTATTACAATGTGTTACATAAGTATAGATAATATAAACCGACTCTTTTTCAAAAAGCCTAGATTACTACCTCAAGGTTGCACGTGCAGGTTGAAAAAATTAAGAGAAATATCAATGAAACAAGATTATGGGAACTTATCCAAGTATACCGAAGTGACCCCACTTTTTGGTGTACAAAATTAAACACTTTCTACGAGAAGTTAAATTTAGCATACGTTATGCTTCGGAAATCCACGAAGTCACATCTGTTAATCAAACTTATGACAAATGACTCTTTAAATTATCGCTGTACGAAAAATGTGACGAGACGCTAATGAGTTCCAACGGTCAAAATTCATACTTTCATAGACAATGAATAATTTTGTGAAATAAACAAGAGTAGGTAACAGCAATGCACCAGATAATAATTATCATTTCTATTAGATAAACAGGGTCGGTATTAACGATGAAACCAAAGTTCTCACGCCCAAACTATTGGATATTCGATTAACAGTGGGACCTCTGCTGGCAGCACATAGTAATTACTATTGGTGGGATAAGATCACTATTTTGTTTATTTACAATGGCCAAAAGTTATCAATATTGTAGTTTTTACGGCTGTAAAATTTCAATTACACTCAATGTAGGTAATTACACTATAAAAAGCAAGGGTAGTTTAAAACATCACATTTTATAACGTTACTTCAAAGAATTTAAATGTGATCCGTGCATTTATGAAACCAACGATAAGGTACAAGAATCCTCGTCTAACCAGTAATATTGCCAAAGTGTTTAATTGTGAACAGTGCAATTTATCAACGATCGATAAGTGAAACTTAAAGCGCCATATTCACATTGAAGGATGTTACGTCCACTCTGTGAGATTAGGTAGGCCACAAATAGTAAGAAAAAAAAAATAATGAATCGTCATTTATGAAAGCAGGATACATCAAAGTCAGTGCCACGAATTAAGGCTGTTTTAAGGCATCACCAACGTAAGGGAGTGTCGACGGGTTGTCGTAAATAAAGTTGCACGAGTGTAATTGCGCGTTCAACCTAATTGAAGGCAGCCTCGAGTTCTTAAGAATAAGGTCTTCCAGGTAGGATAGGATTATGGGGTTTTTCAAGTCTCAAAAACGGCTGGATAAATTCAATTCACTTTCAAATTAGTACAATTTCACTTAAAAACCTGACTCAACGTTTACAAACTGGTTCCATTCATGCTCGGAAATTATATTTATTTCCTCGCCAGTAATGTGTCACCTTCCTGACTTTTATGTAAATAACTATTTTCAGAAGAAAAATCAACGTTACATTGTTATTTCTTATTTTCTTAATGCCTGTGGAAAATGTAATGCAGCATATTAAAAAATTGAAGAATGGAAAAGGTTCGCGGAGGTGGACGAATCGCATTAGAAAAACAGGCCGAACTGGGAAATATGAAAAGAAATCTGAAGAATTGGCATGGCACAAAGTTAAAGGATCTAAAACTGAAGAATAGAGAGGATGCAAAAAAAACAATGAATTTGAAAAGACTAAGGGAACGGAATTTGAGTGGAGCTGAATAATGAATCGAACAGTGGCGCAGTGATGGGTTTCTAATGCAAAGAGACATGAAGGATGAAGTACTCTTACCGAGAATTGTCCAAAAATACGAGCACTAAGACATGTCATTTTTGTTCTGTTCTTTAATTTCCTAATTATTACACACTGAAACTGCAAAAACGGTTTTTGTTTATTATCATTAAGAACCTATTTGGCGATCGTTATATAATTAATAGTCTAAAACTAAACCATCCTTAAGGACTCTGAAACATGCCGAAACCAAAAATCAAATGACGTTATTTTGGGAACGATTTACATCCACTGTATCGAATTTAATCAAATTTTCCAAAATTCTACATTGTGATTGAAACATGATAATCGATCAAACTTGCGTAATTTTATTTTTTTTACATTTCACACAGAAAATTAAGTAATTAAATTACATTATGTTCGATTGTCAGAATATAATAATACAAAACCATTGTGCATTAAATTACTGCAAAATTCTTTAGGGACTATGTGCCCTAGTTGGATCTGCCACTTCGATAACTTCGTGAAAAATTGTAATGCTTTGTCATATCCACTTGAGTGTAGGTGGATTCGTGCATTAACTGTGCAAAATTTACTATGAACGCAATGTTTCCAGTTTGTTTTTCGTCTACAAGTTCAAATCATTCTTCACGACGAATATTATAAATGTTATTGTAGTTCCAATGGCCTGTAAACAATAGCATAAGTTATGCATCTTTACAGACTTAAGAAAATAATTACCGAATAAATTAAGGTGGTGTTTAGAGGGAAAAGACCCATGCAGTCAAAATACAGTTTTTCATGGAGAAGTCCTAAAGAGCTACTTTGAACCTGAAACCAAAACTATATCATAGCAGTTTGTTGATTGTTGGATGCATAAATTACTTTTCGAAAGTGATTGACAATCTTACCTAATATTTTAAACTTGGGGGATTTGTAAGTGTCCACAAAATATTTCGTGAATTTCCTATAATAAATTTGAGCGACGTGTTTATTACGAGCTTCGGGCGTGCTCATGAACGCTTATCTACAAGCAATTAATTTATTTATCAATGACGACGCATCTTGACTTAAGAAAAACTCAATTCAATAAGGATCTACTTCTTGAAAGTCATTGTTCATTTCGGGATTTCACATACCCCCCATACGAACTTTGACCTAAGAAGTCTTTAGACAAATTTCTAGGGTCCGTTAACTTGGCCCCCCCACTGAGAGATTTGATAGTCGTATTATGTTAAAATGAATGCGCTCGTTATGCGCTCATATGCGCCACCGATAATAACTCTTGCGCCATTATCGTTTTTTAGAAATCCGAAAAAACATTGGGGGGGGGGGCAAGTGAACGTAGCCCCCCCCAGTACGTATTTTGTCCCTTGTAACTAGGTCACCTGATACATTTGGTTATGCGCTCAATTGCGCCACTTGAATTAAAGCTAGCGCCATTACGGTTAAGCCGTGACAAATTTTCAAAAAGTGGGGGGGCCAACTTAACGTTTTTAAAAGTTACCGGTATTTGTGCCACTCCATACATCTGGTTATGCGCTCAATTGCGCCACTTGAATTAAAGCTAGCGCCATTACGGTTAAGCCATAGAAAAATTTTAAAAAGCGGGGGGGTGGGGGCTAACTTAACGTTTTCAAAAGTTACGTTTTTTAACATGTTTTTTCTACTACATCGTACCTTTCATCATGCGCTAAAATGAGCATAACGAATTAGTTTTGATACCGCAGAGAGTCCATAAGGTAAGTTCGAATAATTTCCATTCGATTGAGCTAGTAGGTGCAACTCATTACATATTTTGATAAAATTTGCAAATAATATACAGGGTGACAATTTGAAAACTTACCACCCCCCATATCTTAGTAAATAAACGAGATATTTAAAAAAATCAAAATCCGTTTCGGTAATTCGGAGGGGGAATCACAAGTGACATAGTTGGCGACGCACCCCC